CAATTTCAAAAGATTTAGAACAATCACAAACTAGTAATGATGATTATATTTTTTCTCATGAAAACAAAGAGTATCAAATCAAAAAATGTGAGATACAAGAAAATTTAAAAAGATTCAAAAAATGATTTAAAAACAAAAAGTTTTTAAATATGATAAATAAGTTAGTTAAAAGCTTTAAAGAAAATATTTTTTCAAAGAGCTCCAAAAAATAGAAAGAGCAAACTGAAAAAATCTTTTGTTTGTTTATAATAGGTTTTATGATTTCTTTCCTGGATATTATAGATATCAAGAATATGAGATAATTTTCAAACATATTTTAGATTATTATATTGACTCTATAGAATATGATCGAGACAAATGTGATTTGATAAATAAAGTCTTTTTATCAGAGATTGATATATTTCTAATTATGAAAGATTTCAAAATTGATCATGATTTAGCCAATGAGATAAGAAAAGATAGTGCTAAATATGGTTTCGAAAATTTTTATGATATAAAAGATATGAGTTATTCTACTAGGAAAATCGATCTGTTTATGAAAAGTTTTAAAGATAAAATACCCATTATTATTAATTAATATGTAATACATTTATATGTGATAAATAATATTTTTCTACTTTACTTTCTCATGATATTTTTGTTCAACAATTTTTTATTCATTTTCTAAATAAATATTTTTTGATAAATATCAATTTTTCAATAATATACTAAATAATGAAAATCATTACACGCATGTAGCATATTTATGCAGAAGCATCTGACTACTTGAGTCAAATATTAAACTTTATTAAATAGATTTTATTAATAATGCACAGCAGCAGCATACATCGGTGCGATCGATGCACAAGCTGAGACTGGCTATGCTTCCAGAAATAGCAATTATAATTTGTACCGGGTATAACCATCATCAGCATAATTTGTAATATGTATCATCAGCTGATGGTCTCCCACACTGCATCAAGCAGGCCAACTGCATATGAAGTTTAAAAGAATGACAAAATGGCAGGATTCCCCTAGGCAGGTGGGTCCAGGTGCAAACTCACTTTCACAATCACAGCTTGTCTAATTGTGTATAGGCCCTATCCTAGATATTTAATAGAGTTTTATTAGTAACTGTTATTACTTCTGAACAAGGCAATTAATTTAATAATACTTATCGTTATCTATGCATGTGCTGTCTTATGCAACTCAGATCAATCCTGCTTCATCTTGATGGCTGCCAAACTAGTTCCTGACTGGATTTCTAAAATTGGTGGAACATACCTTGCTTAGCTAGCTTTTCGATCTGTTGACTTACGTCAACTCGAACGAAAATTATTACACACATGTGGCATATTTATATGGAAGCATCTGATCACTTGAGTTAAATATTGAACTTTATTAAATAGATTTTATTGATAATGCACAGTAGCAGTGTATATCAGTGCGATCGATGCACAAGCTGAGACTGGCTATGCTCCCAGAAATAGCAATTACGATTTGCACTGGGTATAACTGTCATCAGCATAATTCGTAATACATATTATTAGCCAGTGGTCTCTCACACTGCATCAAGCAGGCCGACTGGACATGAAGTTTAAAAGAACGACAAAATGGCAGGATTCCCCTAGTGCCAATGATATTTAAATCCTGCTATTCTGTTGTTGTGTGTCTGTACAGTTTATTTTGTTTTTATTTATTTATTTATTTTTTCCTTTTTATATGTAATGCCAATTTTTTATTATGTCATTTGTTTATCGTATTTTTCCCGTTCATTCCCTCCTCTTATTTTTTTTTTTTTTTTTTTTGTATCAGTATACATGCATGTATGTAACGATCAGGAATCCAAAGTATTTGTAAACCGATCGTTAGATTGAATAGGTTTTGTTTAGTATTGATGCCATATTGTCGGATGTGCCCTAATGTACTTGTGAAAGGCATCTGATGACCATCTGCCTATTCTTTGAATTAGAGGCAATTGTACACCTCACAGTACTAATTCGGTTGTGCCTTCTGCATGAAAGCTATGTCCAGCTACATTTGAGTTTAGTAGAAGTGACTTGAGAGTGTCAATGAACCATCTCTTTGTGACTAGCTTCCTATTGTTTCTGGTGAATAATGTTTTCTCTCTAGGAGCATAAAATGGATCGATTCTGATAATTATATATGTTTTAAGTGCCTCGATTGGGCATAATCTATCCTTTGTTAAATTAATAATCAGGATGGGACATTCAGTTACTTTGTGAATCTTTGTTCTAGGTAGTTGTATTGTTGTGAATAAATTCCCTCCCATTCTATCAAACTTCAATGCCTGGACTATGGGTACCTTGCCTATGTCTTGGTTTGACCTTGGAATAAGCTCATCTAAATGTGCCAGGCCATAAAATGCTACTAATGCAATCGACCAAAATAGTATATCATCAGGGTTTTCACTATTCAGTTTTGGTTTAATTTGCCACAGTTGGTCATGTGTAATGTGTTCTTTTTGTTGCATTGGTTTGAATATATGATTGTTTTCTATTGTTTTTAGCAATTGTTTTATTAAAGGATCATAATGTATTTCATCCCAATTTTGGTAATTCATAGTATGATAGTGCTTCAGAGCTGACAGGTATGATGTAATAGTTTGAGGGGCGACCTTTGGTTGTAAATATGTTATGAATCTGATAAGGTTTTCTCTTGAGATCAGCCATATTGATATATCTTTATTGGTCCACATATTTTCTTTAGCTAGTGTTCCGTATTGTTTAATAATTGCTTCATAGGTCTTGTACTTTAGTGGCTTTATGCCTAGAATTACTGCTATTTGTTCATTTAATGATAGGCTGTTTGTGTAATTATTAGATATTTGTATATGCTTCTGTATTGTTTTTCTTTTATTTCTCATTACAATTGCTTCGTTCGATTCTAAAAATTAAATTGTAATATTGTAGTTATTAAGTTAGCATAATTTGTTGGAATTACAGGTTGTAAGTATCGTGCCCAGGGATTTTTTGCTCTATATTGTACTTGACCTCCACATAACAATAAATCTGCATTTTTGTTATCTTTGCCTAGAATGTGTTCTAATTTAATAGAATAGTTGCCATTTATCCGTGTTATATATATAACTGCTATTATATTATTAATAACTAAGTTCTTAGATGAACCAGAATAGTATGCTTCAGAATTTGATTGATTATTGGTCCATATTATTAGTCGTTTTTGCAACAACAGTGGTGAGAATGTGAGCATTGCAATTAAGCAAGTTAATAGTTCTCGTATTTGAATACTGTGATTTGGTATATTGCTTTCTTGGGACCAACGAAATACTGTAAAATATGACCTGAATGTTGCATCACCACCCAAATTTGATGCATCAGTATACAAGTTTTGTGTATCTGGATGTAGCCATGCAATATCTTTTATGAAATATGTACCAGACCATTTGGGTAGTACATTTTGTCACCAGTTTATATCAGCTTTCATTGAACCGGTTATGTTCATATGAAATTTAGAATTATGAGGACCTTCTAGTTTTTTAATAAAGCACTGAACAAATAGTCTGCCTTGAGGAATTACTTGACATAACCACATCAGTGAACCTACTAATGATTGTATTTCCTTCTTATAGCACCATTTTTTGTTATACCATTCAGTAAGTAGTTCTATGATTTTTTGCTTTTTTGACTGTAGAATGGATGCTGAAAATGTATTAGTATCAATTTGAATACCTAAAAATGTTAATGCAGTTGTTGGGCCTTCTAATTTGGATAGTTTATATGGAATATTTAACATTTCTAATATATTAAGAAATTGTTGTAGTTCTTGTGATGCACCTGTTTTAGATATAATTAAAAAATCATCTACATAATGAATTATTGATTTTATTTCATATTGTACTGCTATCCAAGCAATAAGATCTGCAAAGTGGCAAAAAATGCCTCCTAATGCTCTATTCCCAAAAGCTAATGCTTTATCAAAATAAACTTTGTTTTCGTATTGCAACTCTTGTAGCACTTGATCAACTGGATGTATAGTTAAAATGCGATATGCATCTTGAATATCGATCTTTGATAACCAACACCCCTGATCATACTTTGTTATTCATCTTATTGAATGATTCAGATTTTCATATTTAGTTGCAAACTCTGTTGGATCAATACTATCATTTATACTCTTGCCACGTGGAGCTGACAGGTGAGAAATTACTCTATAAGTTTTGGGATTTTGTCCTTTCTTCTATACTAATCCACATGGATTAATTTGAAATGTAGTGCATGATGGATTATCTAAAGTAAAAGGACCACACATTCATCCTAACATTATCTCATTATCAATATATTTAGTTAGTGCTAATGGTTTTATGTTTAATAATTTGAGATTTTCTTGTATTGTTATTGTTCTTTTTTTTAAAAAATTAAACCTAAAACCTTGCCTTAATCTATTCTTGATATATTTAATAAAAACCTGATTGGGATGATCTTGTGTTAGATAGTCTAATGCTAGCTTATTAATTGGAGTCTTTACATTGAATTGGTTAGGGTCCAGTTGGGTGATTATTGCTTTTTCTTCTTGAGATAGTGGTATATTTGTTGGAGGAGTTGCATTAATTGTATAAGTGACTGATTGCAATGCTGGTGTTTTGATTGATGTTATCACTCTTGATGCTTTAAATTGTGAACTGTGTTTAAATTGCACTGTTCTACTAGTTGACATCACTATAAAAGATTTATTTATTTTTGTTAGTTGTTAGTTATATATATGTGCTTTATAGTTATTCATTTCTCTATTTATATATTTATTTTTGCATATTTATATTTGTATATAGTATTTATTTTTGAATATTTATATATATATATTTTTTAGTTACTATTATTACTACGAGGTCCACTTCTTTGCAGATTTGTGCTTGATCCTTGTATATTCCTAAGCACAGGGTATTTGCGAAAACAATTCTTTTTCTTATGCTCTACTTTTCTACATACTATACAAGAGTATACTCTACCATAATTTCTCTCTTTTGTACATATTCTTCTGTTCTAGTTGAGGCATATCTCTTTGCCATCATGCCATGTAGTATTAGTCCAACCATTTTGTTGTTCTTCATCCTTTACTTTCTTGATAGCTGCCATATCGAAATTTTCTCTTTCTGCTTCAATATTTCTTTCTGTCAGTATTGAATCCTGATTCATTATTAATGTGACTCTACAATTTTTATCATATGACATTACTGTTGAGAACTTATATTTAATACACAATTCATTAATATGGTCACAATATGTGTTCAGTTCTAATTCACAGTTTTTATAAATTATAAATACAGCATCTAAATATGCTTTGAATGCGATTAACCAATCAGATATGTTTTCAAGTACTGTGTTCTGCTTCCATTTTTTGATCATTACCACTCCACTATCTGATGTTTGTAAAACTGTATTCTTATTTATTAACTTAACATTATTAATCAAGTTCTGCTATGCAAATTCTTGTAGATCGATGAATAATCCAAGAGCTATTATCTTCCATAATCTGTTTGACAAACTGGGTTTTCTTGGCAACATCTCAATTTTTCTTTGCCCTTCAGACCAGTTGGTGACCCACTATAGTCATATTTGCATTGTTTAAATAGCTTCCTTATTAAGAAACCCTTATGTTACATGTCTGTTATTTTTAAATGTATAAGCAAATGCTGAAAACGTCCTGCCAGTTGCTTTATAGGTTATTGTTTCTGAATTGTTTGCAGATTTGATACTCTGACCCTCTGTGCCTAATGCTAAGATTAAACTATTAATTACAGGTGTTGGTGGATAATTACCTTGTGCTGCTTCATTGTTACTTGTTGTATCAGTTATTCTCTGTCGGTTGTTATCTTGTTTTGTGTTATTTGTGTTGAACTCATATTGATTGCTATTGTTAAAATTTGGCTGTTCCATGTATGCAAGCCTTTGGTTGATTGTTTCTACTAACTGTATATTCCATTCTTGCTGTGTCTCCACCTGTTGGTTAATGAATTGCTACATATTTTGCATTATTGAGACTGTTGCTACTTGGATTGCTAAGTCAATATATGACCTCATTCTTGTCTTTAGGCCTATTGTAGGATCTTCACATTTCTGGTTGTCCTCTGTCCCAATGGTTTCTGTTGAGCTTCCAGACATTGTACTATCACTTCTGCCCTTACTTTTGTTTTGGGCCTTCGGTTTGCTCATCATGCAAACTCACTTTTGCAATCACAGCTTGTCTAATTGCATATGGGCCTATCCTGAATATTTAATAGAGTTTTATTAGTAACTGTCATTACTTTCGAACAAGGCAATTAATTTAATGATACTTATCATTATCTATGCATGTGCTGTCTCATGCAACTCAGATCAATCCTGCTTCATCTTGATGGCTGCTGAACTAGTTCCTGACTGGATTCCTAAAATTGGTGGAGCATTCCTTGCTTAGCTAGCTTTTTGATCTGTCGACTTACATCAACTTGAAAGAAGTCTTCTTTATGAAAGTTCTTTGTTCTTACTTTGCATATTGCAAATCTTTTACTTATTTGATTTTATTTAAAGGTTTTCTTTATACTCCTATAAGAATTTTGATTATTAATCAAGAATATGATTATGTAATATATTGTAATATAGTGTTAAGTTTTTGAATTTTGGTATTTTTTCATCATTTTGGATTTTACAAAAAAAATAATAATCCTTTATGCACCAATATTTATTCCTGTTACCATTTAAAACCAATAAATATAAGTCATAAGAATTTTATTTTTTTAAATAATACTAAAATTATCATAAATGATAAGTAATAAAAGTCTTGGCAAAGGAAAATTTGAAGAACTTAAAATTGGAGATATTGTCAAAAATGTAAATAAAAGAATAAAGAAAAATCAAACAATAAACA